GTTTGATACACACATCCCATCAAACATAACAAAGGTATCGTTATTTTATAACATATTTTAAATATTTTTTTCATTATTAAATTTTTTTAACATTAATTATTAATTTAATTTAAAATGTTATTAATTTTTAGTTACAATATTTTCTTATTTGTTTTTACACAAACTAGCATAAACAAACTTAATCTTTTATAGAGAATTAATAATTTTTATAACATTGTATCAATATAAATAATGAATTTAGTATGTTCTCTGAAGAGTTATGCACTTAAATTAGAAATATTTTACGCTTTTGACATTTATCAAATAAGCAATTTGACATACGCCAATTTACTTATTTATTTGTACAAACTAGATAATTCAACTTATCAATAGTAAGAATAACAAAATTTTAATAATAATAATTATGATTTATTTACTTAAATAATTTGTATATTAATATAAAAAAGTCGTTATAAAATATGATGAAATATTTTATTCATTATTAATAATAATTTGTTATAAATAACGACTTGAATAATAATTTATTAGTAAATGTAGTCAATACATGTAAAGTTGTTATGTTAGATTAATAATTCAGAAAATGATTTTATTTACAAACAAGCTAACATCAAAAATTGAAATATTTAATGACACTAATGTATAAATCAATAAGCTTAATTTAAAACATTTAATTATATAAATAATATTATTCATTATTAAATAATTTACTATATTTATATAAATCTTTTTTATTAAAAATAAAAATGATTTTTATTTACTTTTACAAAAATTATGTAATAAATTATTACTAATAATACATTTTAAAAAAATTTTTATCACACATGCATACAATAAACAATATAAACTAATCAATAAAGACACTATTTTCGTAAACTAATTTGGTCTATCTAAAATATTGGCCACACCGGCATTGAATACAACCCCTCCGTCCACTATAATGGAGGCGCCGGTAATAAACTGGGCGTCAGTGGAGGCCAGGAATATCACCGCTTTAGCGACGTCCAGGGGCTGACCCAATCGGGCCAATGGGGTCACACCAATAGCCATTTGTTGCTCTGGGCTTACTTTGTCTCGATCCTGAATAACACCAGGGCTATTTAAAATAATATTATTAATGATGCTAATACAGTTCAATATGCATGGTTATTTGTTTACCTAACGTTATTAACCCGAATACCTTTAGGCGCCAATTCTAGAGCCAGTATTTTAGTAGACATTTCCAGTGCGGCTTTGCTTACTGAATAAGCCAGGTCATATTTAATCTTTATTAAATAAATAAGAATTATTAATAATATAAACAAATAAATATTAAGTGAGCATAATAAAACATTACCGGTGCGTACGCATTTACGGCAGATATATCAATAATAGAGCCGTTAGTTTTATCAAGGTGAGGCACTGCCAGATGTGTCAATTCAATAATTGCGCGCATGTTTATGGCCTCCGTCTGGTCCCAGATCTGCAGTATATCGGGTTGAGTAATGTTTGCTGGCTTACGTATGCCTGCGTTGTTGACCAACACATCCAGTTTACCATATGTTTTAATAGTGGCGTCAATTAAATTGTTAACGTCAGCAGATTTGGTCAGATCGCCCACCACTTCCAGAGGCTGTGAATTAGTAACAAAATAAATTTAATTATAAATACCATAATTTATTTATGAGGCTATTTATAAATCAATTTTAAATATAATTTTACCTTTAACTTTTTTGGTGACAATTCTAGACATTCTTTGGAGTAGTAGATATGCCTAACGTAGTGTAAGTATGTACAGGGTGCGTCAAACATAACGCACCACTTTGTTGTTTTCTCTCATAGACTTTACATTATGACAAAATGTGGTAGTTATTTGTGAACCACCCTGTACATTATATTAAGATTATGTTAATCCACACCAGGTGTTCAGACATTTGTGTACTAATTTATAGTTGAAGTGTTTGAATGTTGACAATGCTTTTCCCCATATTACTGATACCTCTAGTTATAGTTGTCGTAGCCTTTTGTGTACTAAACAGTTGTATGCAAGTTTGCAGTGTTTTCCCCCATTACTTACGTTCCCCCGCTTTATAGTTGTCGTAGCCTTTTGTGTACTAAACAGTTGTGTGCAAGTTTGCAGTGTTTTCCCCCATTACTTACGTTCCCCCGCTTTATAGTTGTCGTAGCCTTTTGTGTACTAAACAGTTGTGAGCAAGTGTGCAGTGCTTTCCATTTACTGACGCGCCCTATGTTTATAAGTGTCATAATTTTTTGTGTGGTAATTGATAGTATTGTATGCGTTCCTCTATTATTTTATATCTTCACTTTATAGTTGTGTGTGATGTAAGACTTTTATTATCTAATAAATTACATCTAAAAATATGTCTAAATAAAGGGGTATTTGTTTTATTCCCAATTTTGTAATGTTTTACTAAATATTTTGTTAACGTTTTATTTACATTTTGATTATGAATTAAAACTGTAATGTTTTATTTTTGTTAATAAAATTAATCAAAATTGCTTTTAATTAAATGCTTATAATTTTTAAAAATAAAAAAGAAAACAAAATACAATACATGTTTTAAATTGCTTTTAATGTTTTAAATTCAGTTAGCATTTCATTAATTTTTACAATAGATTGAACGCCTGTTAGAATCATAGATTACAAGAATGATAGTTACAATGACATCCGTTAAAAATACCTTGAGTCCAAAACTTTCATGCTTAGTGCCAACACAAATAATTTTTTCCGATTGAAATATCATAACTTGTTTTAAATTTAATTAAGCGGACAAAATACTTGTCCTAAAATATACAATTAGAAAGTCTGGTTGAAATTTCATATAGTTTTTCTGTATAAAAACTACAATTATACTTAACACAAAAGGAGCCACTTGTTATTGTGACAATATTGAGTTACAAAGCATGTAAATTATAAATGCTATTAAATAAGCAATTTCCCTTTAGTTAATCTGTTTTGTTGAAAATATTTGTTGATGTATAGTTAATCTTTTCCAGATTTCAAATAACAGAGACATCACTATGCCAGTGTATTTCATGCAAAAGGACATTCAACCAGCTTATGTCAAGGGTAACGCTAATCCTCATCTTTATATATTGTGTATAATAAATAACGATTGATGCAAAAAGCTTATACTTAATTGTCACAAAATATTGGAGTTAATTCGCATTAAAGATCAAATTGATAATTATTTGAACTTGAAATNGCAAAAAGCTTATACTTAATTGTCACAAAATATTGGAGTTAATTCGCATTAAAGATCAAATTGATAATTATTTGAACTTGAAATAAAATCTGAATAAATAAAATATTATTTAAACGAATAAAGCACTGTGTAGTTTATTTAATCAAAATAAATCTGGGACTATAAATAGAACGGACAAAATATAATTTGTTATCCATTCAATATGGTTGTCTCTCGAGATAGTTTTGATCGTCTCGGCAAAGATTTGAGTGGCGAAATTCTCGTTCATTTGCCACTTCACGAGTGTTTTACTTTAAAATGTGTGTCCACAACATTTCGGGATATGATCCCTTTAAGCCGCCGGCACCTAAAAATCACGGGAACCGAAGTATTTGAGATGTCAATAGCGCTTAATGCTTACGAGCATTGTGGCCCAAACGAGGCTATGCTCATGGCTGTGCAGAAATGCGCCGATCTGTTCCCGTATTTTAAAGCGATTACAATTGCTACACCATACTATAGATACTGGTGTGCAAACTTTGCTCGAATGCCTTCTCTTAAACAAATCATCTTCGAGAATCGATTGTCTTGGCCTGAAAATTATTCGACGACATATTTCCCGAAAGCAATCGAATGTTTTTCATTCAGAAGTAGACTGTGTTTCACTAACTCTGCTACAGTCGATACGTTTGCCGAACAATTTGGTGAGAGGATCAAAGAGTTAAAGTTCAGCAATTCCTTACATTTGGATGAGTATATGATTGACAAGATTAAGTCATTCAAGAACATTATAACTCTTCGTAATGATTGTATTTCTGTATACACAGACACCGTAATCAGAACTCTTCAAATCCCTCAATTAAAACAAATTGATTTCTATAGTTTAGAGCCAAATGCGTCAATGACTGATATTTTCAATAATATCAAAATTAATTACATTAATTTACGTCTTTGTATGCAGACTAAGAGATTTCTTATTACAAATCATTATAAGACTGTCCGCCCCTTTAGACGATTTGCTAAACAAATTGAGAGCTTTGGAGTTTGTTCTGAATATGATGTTGAATTCGGTGATTATAACTTCATTTATTGTAAAAGAATTGAATATCTTTGTTTGTATAAATTTTCTACTAAAGAGAATGTCTTTCAGTCAAAGCTTTTTAACAATTTAAAGTATTTGGATATGTATAAGTGTAAGACTTTAATTGAAAACTTTGATTTGTTGTGTACTTTAATTTCTAAAAAGTCTTTACAGTATTTGATTGTCGATGAAATACATCTTTATCAGGAAATCGTTAATGTCTTTAAACAAAAAGCACTATTGTATCCAGAGATTAACTATGTCATCATTATTTATGGTAAACCTATACTTGAAGAGTTCATTGTAAGCCCTAATTTTAAAATCCGTTTGTTTAAACGAAAGTATTTAAATGATGTATTGACCTCTTATCCTAAGAGAAATTTATTGTAATTCAATAAACATATGAAAGTTCATTTACCCGAATAAAAGAGTTTTTATTTAACCAATCATTGAATATCTGTCTGAGTATAAATAAGAGAATAAAATAAACTTTATTCACTCAACAATGGTCCGCTCACGCGATAGTTTTGACCGTTTTGGTGATGATTTGTGTGGAATAATTGTTAGTTATTTATCACTTAGGGAATGGATTATACTCGAATGTGTTTCCAAACAATGGTTTCAAATGATTATTCAAACTCGAAGAGATCTAATCATTAGTTCGAAAGAGTCGTTTGAAATGGCAAGTACTCTTCAAGTCAAAGAAAGTTGTAATTATTTACATGCTTTACGTGTGGTGCTTTACAATACATCGAGTCGTTTTCCGTATTTGAGATCAATTTCAATAGAATCGGCACAATACATGTGCTTTTGGTTAGAGTTAAATAAATTGAAATATCTCAAGAAAATTGTTTTCGACAACCATTTTGCTTGTCCTGGCTATTATGTCAACACAGCACTTCCTCCGAGTCTCGAGACGGTATCATTCAAGTCAAGATTGATATTTGTTAATACAATAATTATTGACAAATTTGCCGCAAAGTATGAAAAGTACATTGAAGAGCTTCACTATGACTGCAATCAGACGTTGGATCCCTACATGGTCAACACAATCGGTTCGTTCAAGAAGATCAGCAAAGTTTGTAATGAAAGTTTTAATGTCAGCACAGAAACTGTACTTAAAACTCTTCAAATTCCTTTGTTAAAACTGATTGCAATCAGTAGCACTGATTACGATGGCCCAATTGTTAATGTTTTTAATAATGTTAGGCTTAATTACACTAATGTATGCTTGCGTTTACTTAACAATGATTTTGTTATTACAAATCATAAAAAGTACACGCATTCATTCGAGAAATCTATGAAACAAATTGTTAAATACGGAGTACATTCTATCCAAACCGATCGATACCCTTTAATTGATATGATTTTTTGTCAAAATCTTAATTATTTATATTTAAATGATTATTATTGTATTGAAAATGTATTTGTCTCAAAGATGTTTAATAATTTGAAATATTTGGATTTACATTTGTGTGCCTCTTTAGTCCATCCAAACAAGCTTGTCAACTTATGAAATTAGTGATTTTTCAGAAATGTCATAAACTAATAATTACTCTCTGAAGAAACAGTCTTTCAATAACTACACAAAATAGTGTTCCGAAATGAAATGGGGCTCCTAGAGTATGTCATCACTGTTTATAATAAACCGTTGGCTAAAGAGCACACTGTATGTTCTAATCTCACCCTTTATTTGTATGAAAGAGATTACAGTAATGGATTTTTGACATGTTATCCGGAAATAACTTCACTTTAATTAAATAAACATTTGTTTGGAGTAACTTTGAAAATTTATTTCTAATTGTATTACATTTCTAATGTTTGAAAAATACGTTTCGTATATTTTTAAACAATTTTAAAACAAATATGAATAAAAACATTTGCTGATATATAGTTAATCTTTTCACGATTTCAAATAACAGACATTACTAGGCAAGTGTATTTCAAGCAAAAGGACATTCAACCAGCTTACGTCAAGGGCAACGCTAATCTTTATTTCTCTATATATTGGGCTTAAAGAATAACGTTAAAAACAAAAAGATTATACTTAATCGTCAGGAAATATTGAAGTTAATCAGCATTAAAGATAAAATTCAAACAAAAAACAAAATTTAAACGAATGAAACAATGTGTTATTTTATTAACCAATCAAATTAAATCTCTGACTATAAATAGCTGGAATGAGATACACACTATTATCCATTCAATATGGTTGCCTATCGCGATAGCTTCGATCGTTTTGGCGATGACTTGAGTGGCGAAATTCTCATTCATTTACCACTTCACGAGTGCTTTACTTTAAAATGTGTGTCCACAACATTTCGGGATATGATTCCCAAAAGTCGAAGTCATCTCAAAATCGATGGTCCCGCAGTATCAAAGATGTCTATAGGGCTTAATGCTCGGTATCGTTGGGGCGCTAAAGAATCTATTCTCGTTTCGGTACGGAAGTGTTCGGCTCTGTTCCCGTATTTGAAGTCCATCTCAATCGAAACACCTTACTATAAAAATTGGTGCGCAAACTTTGCACGAATGGCTCGTCTTGAACACATCATCTTTAAGAATCAACTTAATTGGCCTGAAGATTACGAGATGACACATTTCCA